ATAGAGACACGCGAGGGAAGATCCGGAAGAGGAATGTAGATCAATTGGTCGAGACGACCAGGACGGAGGAGGGCAGGATCTATTTGATCTGGCCTGTTGGTGGCACCGATGATGAAGACGTTCTTCTTAGCGTTCATACCATCCATCTCAGTGAGAAGTTGATTCAACACACGATCTCCTGCACCACCAGCATCACCAGAAGATCCACCACGGGCTTTGGCAATTGAATCAAGTTCGTCGAAGAACATGACACAGGGGGCTGCAGCTCGGGCTTTATCAAACACATCTCGAACGTTTGCTTCGGATTCACCGAACCACATAGTCAAAAGTTCAGGGCCCTGTCAAATATGTAAGCCTATTGCTTGCCTTCCTCACACAACTGCTTACCTTGATGGAAATGAAGTTGGCCTGGCACTCATGGGCGATAGCCTTGGCAAGCATAGTTTTACCCGTTCCAGGTGGCCCATAGAAGAGCACTCCCTTTGAAGGCGACATTCCGTATTTGATGAACTTCTCCGGGTGCTCGACAGGGTATTGCACAGTCTCCTGGAGCTCTTGTTTGACCTTCTCCAGACCACCGATATCGCCCCAGGTGACAGTGGGTACTTCGACCACAGTCTCTCGGAGGGCTGACGGGTTGGAGACACCCAGAGCAAATCTGAAGTTCTCCATTGTCACACCAAGAGCATCAAGCACTTCAGCATCGATGGTATCTTCGTCGAGGTCAATGAGATCCATTTTTTCACGGATTTGTTGCATGGCAGCTTCTGAGCAAAGCGAAGCAATATCGGAGCCAACATAACCGTGAGTGTCGGCGGCGATTTGTTCCAAGTCAACGTCATCGGACAACTTCATGTTCTTGGTATGAATGCGGAGGATCTCGAGACGACCAGTTGGGTCCGGAATGCCGATATCCACCTCCCGATCGAAGCGACCGAAACGACGCAAGGCGGGATCGATGGAGTTTGGTCGATTCGTAGCAGCCATCACGACGACATTAGAGCGAGCCTTCATGCCATCCATCAAAGTCAACAACTGGGAAACAACACGACGCTCGACCTCTCCGTTGGTCTAAGGAAACGAGCAATAGTTAGAATAGCTCTACTGCAATAATAGGATAATGAGATTACCTTTTCGCGCTTAGGCGCAATAGAGTCGATTTCATCGATGAAGATGATGGCAGGAGAGTTCTTTTCGGCTTCCTCGAATGCTTTGCGCAAGTTACTTTCGGATTCACCGGCCATTTTACTCATAATTTCGGGTCCGTTTATCAAGAAGAAGAATGCCCCAGTCTCATTGGCAACCGCACGAGCCATGAGCGTTTTACCGGTACCAGGAGGACCATACAACAAGATTCCTCTCGGAGGTTTGATTCCGATAGACTTGAAGAGTTGTGGGTGACGCAATGGGAGCTCGACCAGTTCACGAATTTGGGCCATTTGTTTGCGACATCCTCCAATGTCGTCGTAGCCGACATCGGCAAGATTATTTTCTTCGTCTTCACGTTTGACGGGATCACCTTCGGTGTGGATAACAGTATCTTGTGCTACAATGCAGTATTCGGCGGGGTCGGTCTCCAAGACTTTGAACTCGACTGTCCTCATGCCACCGCGAACTAGGAAGGTATCACCCTTGCGGACGGGACGGAACGCCTCAACGAAATAAGGCTATTAATTTAATGTGAGTCAAGGTTCCATGAAGGATTCTATACGTGATCTAACCTTCAGATAAACTTCGAAGATATTTCCACTGAGGCCTTCAATTGAATCATCGAAGGGAACAATATGCACCCGTTTGCCATATTGAATATCGGGACAAGGATGCACATTACAAACGTCGCCGAGCTTGACGCGAATGTTGTTTCGAGCCACTATAGAGGATAAGAATCGGTAAGGTCAAGTGAGACCAGCTTCATACCTTTGTTCATCAGGATCTTGCCCTCTTCAACGTTGTCGTCACTCATCACGATAAGGACTTGTGAAGCGGGTCAGGATTGTGTTGCTTAGGTCAAGATTATCCCTTGTCGTATGTCTCACCTGTATCACGTCTCTTCTTGCCTCTGTACGCGATAATATTAGCGAGACCAGGGAATATCGCGCGGTTTCACTCACCGAACAATCACAGTATCGCCTCTAAACAGTTGAAGAGTTTCCATAGTTGCAGGGTTGAGTGTGGCCACTGGAGGCGACGCGTAAGATTCTACTGGACAAAGGATATCGTCGCGATGCGCGTACCAGAGTTATCATCAGTGATAGCATCATCTA